GAAAGAGTCGTTCTGAGCTAACATCTGTGCCAATCTTCCTCTATTTTGTATGTGGAATGCCGCCACAGCGTGGCGTGACGAGTGGTGTAGGTCCTGCCGGGGATCCAAACCCACGAACCTGGGCCGCCAACGCAGAGCACACCAGACTTAACCACTGTGCCACCAGGCCAGCCCAACTTCTTTTTTAAATCAACTTTTGATTAGGGAAAATTTCAAACATATTACACTCATTTTTGCATGTATTTTGGTCCCATATCAAGAACTCTCGGGGGCCGGCCCCGTGGCTTAGCGGTTAAGTGCGCACGCTCCGCTGCTGGCGGCCGGGTTCGGATCCCGGGTGCCCACCGACGCACCGCTTCTCCGGCCATGCTGAGGCCGCGTCCCACATACAGCAACTAGAAGGATGTGCAGCTATGACATACAACTATCAACTGGGGCTTTGGGGGAAAAATAAATAAATAAATAAATAAATAAAAATTAAAAAAAAGAAGAACTCTCGGCTTAGGAGGATTTACATTTATAAGTTTGTATTACATATAAAAAATCATTTCCCTTGTCTTCCTGTATCTGGCTTTCTAAATCTGTAAAATATATACAAAGGAAAATTGTGGAAAATGATTCAGTAACTTAGTATAGAGTTAGGCAGAAAAGGAGTCATTTGAAATACCTATGCCTTTGCCATTGCTCCCTTATCCTCAAACAGCCTTTTAGCAGCCTTTAAATCTCTTCTGTCCTCATGCAGAAAAATCCTGAATGTATATTTGCATGCCAGATCTTGAGAGCTGCTTCTTTGAATTTGAAGTAATATCATAAGTGGCATATAGGTACCACCATGCATAATCTTCAGTTTCTGCAGTTGAAGCTCACCTTTCAGAGCTCCCCAGGCTCCTGTCCTCCTCACTGTGGACTGCAGGGGCCTGAGAAGGGAGAAGGGGAGAGAAGCAGGTTTGGATAAAGGATTGAGAACCGCCCACCCACCACACAGCACAGGGAACACCCCTGGCTTCAAGGAGCTGAATTCCAAGCAGGTGCAAAGCATATGTAGTGAAACAGGAGATACTGATTCTCATTGGATAGCCTCACAGATTGGTAGGGCAGAACGATGAGATGAACAAGGCACCTGTCCATCTTGTACTTCCTTTTTTCGAAAGGAAGAGCTGAGATTCCATGATGTCGTATGGACAGCTTTGGAGTTAAACAACCTGAGGGGCTACAGATCACCCTCCTACTGTGATTTAGGCAAATCGCAGAGTTCTCTGAACCTCATCTGTAAATGGTGATGACAATTACCTGTTAGGGTTGTTGTAAGGACCTAATAAATGCAGAATAAATGTGGAAGGGCTTTGGAAACTGTGAAGTACTAAGCAACCTTCAGTTATTAACACAAATAGGGCTTAGGAACAATTTTGAAGTAGGAGGTTTGTATCTATCACTTTCTACCTCTTTTTTTCTGTGCTCTTCTCACTTGCCTCCCTCTCCACACCCAGGACCTGTGTTGTCCAATATAGAGGTCACTAGCCATATGTGACTATTTAAATTTAAATTAATTAAAATTAAATAAAATTAAAAACTCAGTTTCTTGGTCGCATAAGCCTCATGTCATATGCTCAGTAGCCACACGTGGCTGATGGCTACCGCATTGGACAGCGCTGCTTCAGCCAGTTAGCCTTCCCGTGGCGCGCTCTGGTCCCCAGTTTCAGCACTGGAGTAAGTCCTCGCCTTACTCTAAACGCCCAGTGCTTTAAGATGATCTTTCCTTCCCTCCTTTCCTTTATCAGCCAATCAGATTTCTGTGTCTTGGCTGAAGTGCTTATTTGGATTATAAGAAAAGTATTCTGATTAAATTTCATATCACAAATTTTAGCCTCCATTTAACTACTCTGAGGCACATACCTTTCAAAAGAGGATGCCTGGGCCAGCCTTGTGGCTTAGCGGTTAAGTGCGCGCGCTCCGCTACTGGCGGCCCGGGTTCTGATCCCGGGCGCTCACCGACGCACCGCTTCTCCGGCCATGCTGAGGCTGTGTCCCACATACAGCAGCTGGAAGGATGTGCAACTGTGACATACAACTATCTGCTGGGGCTTTGGGGAAAAAAAAGGAGGAGGATTGGCAATAGATGTTGGCTCAGAGACAGTCTTCCTCAGCAAAAGGAGGAGGATTGGCATGGGTGTTAGCTCAGGGCTGATCTTCCTCACAAAAAAAATAAATAAAATAAACAAAAGAGGATGCCTGTAGAATCAAATCTCTAGTTGGCAGAATTTCACAAAATAAAAGGTGGCAGTTAATCTGAAAGCCTGTGTTTCGGAAAGACGACTCCACATTAACACCCCCCCCCCCACCGCCCCAACACACACATGAGCATCTGAATGAACAGGCTGACCCTGGGAGGGCTTTGTGTTCTCCTGCTCCCTTCCTCCTCTGAGAGAGGAGTTAACTACTCTTCTTTTTCACTTCTCATTAATTAATAGATAAATAATAACTAAGTACATTCAGCAGGTATTTCTTGAGCTGCTACTATGATGGCAGAAATATAATATTTCTGTATGAAGCATAGAAAGCATAGCAATGAATAAGTTGGCGCCTCCACAGAAGATGATTGTGGCCTAGTTAGTCCTCATTTAACACCATCAGCTTCGTGTCCTGAGGTCTGGGCAGCCTGCCATCCGGCCATTGCCCCTCACTGAAGGAGAGCTGCTCTGCCTTAAGCCACGAATGACCGTGGAATTTTGGAGCCTGTCCCAAAATGGTTATGTCTTGAGTCACAGATGAAAGAGTCTCCGCAGAGACCTCAAAACAGCCTCTTGTGCCGTCTGTTGGGTCTTCAGAAATTCTGTCTATCTCTGCCTTCAGCTCCCAGCTCCTCATATTTCCTGACCATTTCTCATCTAGTTCTTCTGACTCTTGGAGTTTTGGCAGGGACTTGCATGGCGAACTTGTCCTGTGCCTCTGCTTCCTCTGAGTACTGCCCAGGATGAGGCTATGGTGTGAAGAGGAGTATGGAGTGGGTGTCCCACAGACCTGAGTTTGAGCCCTGGCTCCACCACTCTTTGGATCTGTGGTCCTGGGCATTTCCTCAACCTCTCTAAGCCTGTTTATTTCATATGTAAAGTAGGGATACTAATAATTATCCATAGGAGAAACTGAGATAGTGGGAGGCATGGAGACATTGACGAAGGGATTTGGGAGCTGGAGTGAGTTAAGGGAACTAGAGTGTAAAGATAACTGATTCCTTCCCAGCCACTAACTAAATGCTGGTTATGTATGCTCATTCATCATAGTTTGTGGCTCTTGTGGCATAGTCATCTGCTCAAAACTTAAAAATGAGAGGGAATTTTATTCCCAAGTCATAAACCTTAGCTAGCCCTGCTCTTGGGTACAGCATGCTCTCTGTCAGCCCTGAAACAATACCCTTTAATCCAAATACTATTAGATATAATGAGATAGGGCAGTGACCTTGGGCTTCTACATGAGATTTAGAAAACCTCATTTACAAATTATTCTAGCATGCATTATTTCCAGGAAAGATTTTCACTGATTACTAATATCTATTTTGTGTTATGTCTTAGTTCCTTTTTCAGAGAATGACATTTTTATGACCTTTTCCCTAAATTCTGTTTAGGAGTTCGTACCTCCCAAACTACATGCACTTTGCCGCTGTGATTTCTTACTGTCTGTGTTTGATTTGCTCACTGGTATGCCTTTGATTTTTGACTTGCAGCAGCATGTTCTTGTCTGCCTAAGGAAATAGTGGGAAGCACAGAAAGTTAGGGGCTTACTTAATAACTTTGGAATGTGCATCTGTCCCAAAATAGGAACTGTGACCAAGAACATGGTTGTCGCATTTTTAATACAGATTTGGGTAATACTTTTTTCCCTGCCTTTTTATCTAACCATATATGTTGAATAGTAGATTTATAGACTGAGAGAGAAAAGTAGAAAACTCATGAATCTCAAGTAGTCAGGAATAAAGATCTTGAAATTATAGAGGGGGTAAGGAAGCTTTGGCCCCACACACTGAATTAGAAACATCTGCATCCATGAGAACTTGCACAAGAGAACTGGAATACTGCCACTTTTCATTCTGCCTTTCACATGCTCCCAATGCCTTTCACATGTTCCTGCAGTGGAGGGTCGGGGATAGCATGGGTGCTCCAAATAGTACTTTGAAAGACTGAATTGTATTCCATGAATTTAAAATTTCTATGCCTGAAAAGTTGGAAGAGATGGGAGCTTCTCCTGAGAAGTCCATCCTTTGGCTAAAACTGGTGTCTATTTGAAAAGAAATACCTCCAGAACTGAAGTGCCAACGTACATTTTGCTTTTTTTTTTTTAATTTTATTTATTTATTTGTTCCCCCAAAGACCCAGTAGATAGTTGTATGTCGTAGTTGCACAGCCTTCTAGTTGCTGTATGTGGGACGCAGCCTCAGCATGGCCGGAAAAGCGGTGCGTGGGTGCGCGCCCGGGATCCGAACCTGGGCCGCCGGCAGCGGAGCGCGCGAACTTAACCGCCAAGCCACGGGGCCGGCCCATTTTGCTTTAAAATAGAAGCTTTAGGGCAGTACAGAGGCTGCATAGTATGATGGACAAAAGGTCAGACTCTGAATTCAAATCCGGCCTCTGCTGCTTTCCAGCTGTGTGACCCTGGACAAATTGCTTAACATCTCTTAGCCTCAGTTTCCCCACCTGTAAAATGAGGATAGTAGTAATGCCAATACCAGAGTTTTGTAGTGAGGAATAAATGAGTTAATTGTATAGCACTCTTAGAGCAGTACCTAGTGCAAGGTGAGCGCGTTAGAAGTGTCTCCTCTTATTCTCAGTGTTGTTACTACCGCCACCATCACCTCTACAGCTGATGCTACACCACAGGCTTTGGCATCAGCCTGGGTTGAATTCTAGCTCTGCCACGTACCAGCTGGGTGTCCTATTTAAGTCTGAAAGCCTCCACCTCTGCATTTGTAAGATAAGATGGGGCGTTAATAGAATCTACTTCACAGGGTTATGGTGAAGAGGAAACGGGATGATGCGTGTGAGGCGCTGAGCACAGTGCCTGAAGCCATAAGTGCTTGTTGCTGTGTTACTGTTGGTACTGCAGCAGCTACCAAGGCCTCAACCAAGGCATCGCCCACAGCAGAGTGTTGGTCTCCATTGTGAGTTGTGTCACAAGTAATTTGTTCTGACTAATAAGCTACCAGTGCTTGAGAATTATTTTTAAAAATTAATTAGACCTAAGTCAAGGTTGTCCCCACCATAACATTATTGCCATTCACTTCCTTTTTTTTTTTGGTGAGGAAGATTAGCCCTGAGCTAACATCTGTTGCCGATCCTCCCCTTTTTGCTGAGAAATATTGGCCCTGGGCTAACATCCATGCCCATCTTCCTCTACTTTATATGTGGGACGCATGCCACAGCATGACTTGATGAGCGGTGCATAGGTCTGTGGCTGGGATCGGAACCTGTAAACACCAGGCCGCCGAAGCGGAGTGCGCGAACTTAACTGCTACGGAACTGGGCCGGGCCATCACTTCCATTTTGAGAGGTGGAGCTCGCCTGCAGGGGACAATCCTGGGCTCTCAGGATTGGGCGTACCCGGGTATGCCTGTTGGAGCATGGGTCCTGCATTTGGAAGTTGAGTGTTTTGTGTAGAGGCAGCGAACATGTTTGAGAATCGCTGGTCTTGGGATGCTGTCCTTTCTGCCACAGGGGGTACTGTTCACACTCTTTTGTGTTCATGCTCTTCCTTGTGGCAAACCTCTGCTCCTTCTGCCAGACCTAAGTGCCACAGTCCCCCAAAGCCCAGCCATTCTTATCCTGTCCAAACATACATAGCTACCAGGAAAATACTTATTTTGACTGTTAAAATCACTTTTCTAGTACATTAAACAGCTACTGTAACTAGCCCTGACTTTATTCATTAATAAATACTTATTGAGTCCTTGTTATGAGTAAGATACTGTTGGTTTTATGAAGATAATTCAGAGGATGTCCCTTTAAGGAGCTTATAATCAAGTTTGATAGACACGTTGTGTACACAAGAACTGTAGCAGGAAAACGTTCACTGTAGTGTTCTTTTTCTTTTTTAGCTTCCATTTTTACATTACATTCACGATTATTTATAGCTTGGTCTTTAATTCTTTGTTGTTCATTATAAAAGTAATACATGTTCATTGTATAAAATTTGGAAAATATGTTAAAAAAAGGAACAGAAAAAAATTATCCATATTTCATCAACTAGAAATTACCATTTTAATGTTTTTTTTAGTTATTTTTCATGCAACTTTTATGCAAATGATATCATTCTCCATATTTATATCCTGTTTCTTTTTCATTTCAGCCATTATATAACTATTTCCATATGTTATTAAAATACTTTATAAGTATAATTTTAATAGCTAAATAACATTTCATAACATATAACTTATAATTTATAACCACTCTCTATATGTTGGACATTTTGGTTGATTCCAGTTTTTCTTTATTATAAACAACATGGTAATAAACATCTTAGTGTATGAGTCATCTGTTTCTTTTTTTTTTTTTTTAAAGGTTTATTTATTTATTTTCCCCCCAAAGCCCCAGTAGATAGTTGTCTGTCATAGCTGCACATCCTTCTAGTTGCTGTACGTGGGACGCGGCCTCAGCACGGCCGGAGAAGCGGTGCGTCGGTGCGCGCCCGGGATCCGAACCCCAGGCCGCCAGCAGCGGAGCGCGTGCACTTAACCGCTAAGCCACAGGGCCGGCCCCATCTGTGTTTCTGATCATAGATTTCTGTAGGTAGAATTACTCAGTCAAAGAGTATTTGAGGGCCGGCCCTGTGGCTTAGCGGTTGGGTGCGCGCGCTCCGCTGCTGGCGGCCCGGGTTTGGATCCTGGGTGCGCACCGACGCATCACTTCTCCGGCCATGCTGAGGCCGCGTCCCACGTACAGCAACTAGAAGGATGTGCAGCTATGACAGACAACTATCTACTGGGCTTTGGGGGAAAAAAAAAGGAAGAGGATTGGCAACAGATGTTAGCTCAGAGCCAGTCTTCCTCAGCAAAAAAGAGGAGGATTAGCACGGATGTTAGCTCAGGGCTGATCTTCCTTAGGAGAAAAAAAAAAAGAGTATTTGAAATATTTGTAAGGTTATTAATACATGTAGCTTTGTTGCTTTTTGGCAAAGATATTTACCCTAACAAAATTTTTGACTCTGATTAATTTGAATATTTAGTTACCTTAACTACAGGAGATCCTTAGCCTTTGCAGGTCTAACATTCCAAGTGTTGACTCTTCAAGAATGACTCCAAAGTTCGTGACATAAGGTAGTTTGCGTACTTACTTAAGCACAGAATTTAATCACATGGGCCTAGAGGCTGGTGTGCAGAGTTGAGTCCCTTCGCTGGTGAGTGACCAAGGCTGCCTAGCACGTGTTTTGTTGGGGCTTCGTGGTCTCTGCAATACCTCTCATATATTACTTTAAAAATTTAATTTTTTTTGATATAGAGAACTTTAGTGAAAACTGAAAAGGCCATTAATTTATGGTGTACAGATAAGCATAGAAAATCTATGACTCTCAGAGAAATGTGATTCAAGGAAAAAACAAGAGTTTGTACAGATAATTTCATATTAACAAAAGCAAATATTTGAAAGGCCTACTACTTTCTAATTGCTTGATAGTATATATTAACATGTCATTTCTAGAAAATAAATCCAATTTTGTTTTCAGTGTCAAGTGAAGAAATTATTCTTTTTATAATAACTCATGAAAGGGTTATATATATCTTTATAATAAAATATGAAAATAAATACATTAATGAAATCATCAAAGAACTGCTACAAATTTTTCCCCCTTGTTTGCTTTAATTATTAATTAATTAATTAATTTTTTTCCACCCAAAGCCCCAGTAGATAGTTGTATGTCATAGCTGTGCATCCTTCTAGTTGCTGTATGTGGGACGTGGCCTCAGCATGGCCGGAGAAGCGGTGCGTCAGGGCGCGCAGGGGAACCGAACCCCAGGTCGCCAGCAGCGGAGCATGCGCACTCAACCGCCAAGCCACGGGGCTGGTCCTTATTTGCTTTAATTTTAAAAGAAGTTCTTTGTGTTTTGGTGGGAATGTCTTATACTTTAGCTAGGAAAGAAAGTGTGTGGAAAACAAATCAGTGTCTAGAAGTCTGAGAACAAACTTAGTGAAAGAGACATTGCTTAGACCAATCACAAGTTAATCTCTGCTTAACCTTGTACTTCTAAGTGGAACCACCCACCCCGCCAGCCCCCAACATCACAGTCTAAGAGCAGCTTTCTCCTCCCCCTTTGTTTGAACTATTCCCCTTGAGGTTGCTTTCTCTCCTTTTAGTGACAAGGAGGTGGCAGTAGCTGCAGTTGCTGCAGTAGCTGCAGGGGCCTATCTGGCCCCTAGAACGTTTCTTGCTTTTATTTCACAGTCACCTGGCAAATTAGCACCCCCAACTCTTACAATCCCAGGACCTGCCTTTTCTCCCCTTCCCCTGAAAGTCTCAAGACACACATGAAATGGGACCCCGTCTTGGAGGGACTCATATTTCTGCATGCTTTCGTATAGTGGTGTGGCCTTGTGGCCCTGCCCAGTATGTTAAAGTCCTAGATTCAGTCTATAGTGTGCCGACATCACCCTGATGATATGGCTGTGAGTGCAGATGGAGTCAGATCTGTCTGGTTTCTGGCTTCTGTTGTAGCCTTCTTCCCCAGGCTCCTGGGGCCACTTAACCTCTAACTAGCTAGCCTCTTGCTCATCTCTAGGACACAGCCCAATCTGAGGCAGAGGGACTGAGGCTTCCTCACACTCTATAATTTGGCCTCAAGTCACCATCATTGGCCTTGTGCCTTAGCTCCGATAACTGGACTCCTGTCTGCTTCCTGGTTGCCAGAATCCCATGGTAACCTGCCTCATAGCCCTGTGCCTTGTTTTTATCAGCCTCCCTCCCAGAGACTGAAGTCCTGCCCGAAACACAGTGACTGATGCACTTTCCTGATGTTAACCACCCATTTTGCCTTTCTGGTTGGATTCCAGAGTGCCCTAGATTTCTCATTGTTCTGCACTGCCTGCAGTCAGGAAGCCTCTGTTCTTGACACTTATCTCAGCACATAGCAACTCCATTCTTCCAGTTACTCAGGCCAAAACCTTGGAGTCATCCTGAACTCCTCCCGATCTCTCACATCTCACATCTGAGCCTTCAGCAAATTCTTTTTTTTTTTTTTTACAATTTTATTTATTTATTTTTCCCCTTAAAGCCCCAGTAGATAGTTGTATGTCATAGTTGCACATCCTTCTAGTTGCTGTATGTGGGACTTGACCTCAGCATGGCCGGAGAAGTGGTGCGTCGGTGCGTGCCCGGGATCCGAACCCGGGCCGCCAGCAGTGGAGCGCACGCACTTAACCGCTAAGGCACGGGGCCGGCCCTTCAGCAAATTCTTGATGCTACAGTAAAAATATATCTAGAATCTGACTACATTGATCCAAACCATTATCATCTCTGCCTTGGATTCTTGCAGTAGCCTCCTGACTGGTCTCCTGGTTTCTATCCTTATCCCCTTTCAGTTATTCTCAACACTGCCATCTGAGTGATCCTTTTAAAATATGAGCCAGATTATATTACTTCTCTTTTCAGAATCCTCCAGTGGCTTCCCACGTCACTCAGTGTAAAGTCAAAGTGCGTACACTGTCCCATAAGGCCCCGATTCTCTCTCTGCTCTTACCTGCTACACATCTGTCTGGCACCCTTCCTCGCTCACTCCACTCCAGCCACACTGGCCTTTTTCTCTGCTCCTTGAACCCCCCCTGGGATCTCTCGGCCAGGAATGCTCTTTCCCCAGATATCTGAATGGCTTACTTCCTCACTTCTCTTAGCTCTATTCAGATATCTCTGATCCGTGAGGCCTTCCCTCTCTAAAATTTGCAACCCCCTTCACCCTCTTTCCTGCTTAATTTTTTTCCCTTCTCAAAATTCAACATACTATATATTTCTGTTTATTTATTTCTATTCTGTCTTCTCTATTAGAATGTCAGCTCCGTGAGGACAAGGGCACTTTGGTTCACTGCTGTATTTCCAAAGTCTGGAACAGTGCCTGGCCAGGTTGTGAGTTCATTAAATGTTTGTCGAATGAATGAGTCAGATAATTGAATATTTGCCATG